CATATATAATATATATATGTATATTTATATTATATATATATATTTTCACAAGGTAAGCTTCTTCCTTCATGAGACATTGACAATTTTTTTAAATGATCTTCAAAGTAAATATAGTGAGAAACGACAGAAAAAGTCTCAGGTGGAATATGATTGTATGGGTGTGTCTCAGACTCCCTAAGAGATGGGAGATATATTATTTAAAGGTCTCTCAGGATCTCAAGTGTATATAGAGACGAGAGACGTATGGATGTGTCTCTTAAAAATAAATTATCTCAAAGTAGAATGAATCTTTTTGACTCTGGGTGGCTCTGATTGGTCTCGCTCTCCTCCCGCTACACCTGGTTGGTCTCTCTCTCCTCCCGCTACATCTGGTTGGTCTCTCTTTCCTCCACTACACCTGGTTGGTCTCTCTCTCCTCCCTACACCCGGTTGGTGTCTCTCTCCTCCGCTACACCCGGTTGGTGTCTCTCTCCTCCACTCCTGGTTGGTCTCTCTCTCCCTCCCGCTACACCTGGTTGGTCTCTCTCTCTCCTTCCTACACCTGGTTGGTCTCTCTCTCCTCCCGCTACACCTGGTTGGTCTCTCTCTCCTCCTTACACCTGGTTGGTGTCTCTCCTCCCGCTACACCCGGTTGGTGAATCTCTCCTCCGCTACACCTGGTTGGTCTCTCTCTCCTCCCGCTACACCTGGTTGGTCTCTCTCTCCTCCCACTACACCTGGTTGGTCTCTCTCTCCTCCCGCTACACCTGGTTGGTCTCTCTCTCTCCTCCCGCTACACCTGGTTAGTCTCTCTCTCCTCCACTACACCTGGTTGGTCTCTCTCCTCCCACTACACCTGGTTGGTCTCTCTCTCCTTCCCGCTACACCTGGTTGGTCTCTCTCTCCTCCCACTTCACCTGGTTGGTCTCGCTCTCTCCCGCTACACCTGGTTGGTCTCTCTCTCCCACTACACCTGGTTGGTCTCTCTCTCCTCCCGCACACCCGGTTGGTGTCTCTCTCCTCCCACTACACCTGGTTGGTCTCTCTCTCCTCCCTTACACCTGGTTGGTCTCTCTCTCTCCTTCCACTACCTGGTTGGTCTCTCTCTCCTCCCGCTACACCTGGTTGGTCTCTCTCTCCTCCCACACACCTGGTTGGTCTCTCTCTCCTCCACTACACCTGGTTGGTCTCTCTCTCCTCCCTACACCTGGTTGGTCTCTCTCTCCTCCCACTTCACCTGGTTGGTCTCTCTCTCCTCCCGCACTACACCTGGTTGGTCTCTCTCTCCTCCCTACACCTGGTGGTCTCTCCTCCCTTTACACCTGGTGGTCTCTCTCTCTCCTCCACTACACCTGGTTGGTCTCTCTCTCCTTCCGCTACACCGTTGGTCTCTCTCTCCTCCCACTACACCTGGTTGGTCTCTCTCTCCTCCCGCTACACCTGGTTGGTCTCTCTCTCCTCCCGCTACATCTGGTTGGTCTCTCTCTCCTCCCGCTACACCTGGTTGGTCTCTCTCTCCTCCCGCTACACCTGGTTGGTCTCTCTCTCCTCCTGCTACACCCGGTTGGTCTCTCTCTCCTCCTGCCTACACCCGGTTGGTCTCTCTCTCTTCCCACAGCTACCCGGTTGGTCTTTCTCCTTCTGCTACACCTGGTTGGTCTTTTTCTCTCCTCCTGCCTTACCCGGTTGGTCTCTCTCCTCCTCCTACACCCTAGATGGTCTCTCCTCCCGCTCGACCTGATTGACCACTCCTCCCGCTCCATTTGATCCTCCCTACATCTGGTTGGCCACTCCACCGCTACACCTGGTTGGCCACCTCCCTGCTACACCTGGTGGCCTACCTCACATGCCTGGTTGGCCACCTCCTCCCACACCTGGTTACTCCTCCTGCTACACCTGGTTGCCACTCCCTATACACCCACTGCAATCTCACTACACCTGTTGCCTTCCTGCTACACCTGGAGGCCACTCTCCGCTATACCTGGTTGGCCACTCCTCTGCTGCACCTGGTTGGCCAATCTCCCACACCTGGCTGGCTACCTCTCACTACACCTGGTTGGCTTATTCTCCACTCACACACCTGGTTGGCCACTCCTCCATATACCCTCACTACCTCTCTGCTGCACCTGGTTGGCCAATCTCTCACACCTGGCACTTCTCCACTACACCTGGTTGGCCACCTCTTTCCACACCTGGTTGGACACTCCTCCACTACACCTGGTTGGCCATTCTCCCACTACACCTGGTTGGCCACTCTCCACACACCTGGTTGGCCACTCCACCTGCTACACCTGGTTGGCCACCTCCTGCTACACCTGGTTGACTTCCTCTCCCCACACCTGGCTGGCCACTCCCCACCTACACCTGGTTGGCCACTCCTCCTGCTACACCTGGTTGGCCATTCTCCCACTACACCTGGTTGGCCACTCCTCCTGCTACACCTGGTTGGCTACCTCCCCACACCTGGTTGGCCACTGTCCCTGCACACACCTGGTTGGCCACTCGTCCCACACACCTGGTGGCCACCCTCCCACACCTGGTTGGCCACCTGCCACACCTAGTTGGCCACTTTCCCTGCCACACACCCACCACACCCTCCCACTACACCTGGCACACTCCTGCCACACCTGGTTGGCCACCCCTCCTGCTACCTATGGTTGCTACTCCTCCCACCTGGTTGGCCACCTCGCTACACCTGGTTGGCCACTCCTCCCACACCTGGTTGGCCACTCTGCCACACCTGGTTGGCCACCTCCTACCCATTGGCTAATCCTCCCCACACCTACACACTCCTCCTCCATACCTGGTTGGCCACCCTCTGCACCTGGTTGCCACCTCCCTGCCACCTGGCTGGCCACCTCCACTACACCTGGTTGGCCACCTCCTCGCTACACCTGGTGGCCACTCCTCACACCTGGCACACACCTCTGCCACACCTGGTTGCACTCCTCCCGCACCTATGGTTGGCCACCCTCCCACACACCTGGTTGGCCACCTCCCACACCTGGTTGGCCACCTCCGCTAACCTGGTTGGCCACCCTGATACACCTGTTGGCCACTCCTCCCGCTACATCTGGTTGATCCTCCCGCCTCTTACGAAAGTTTAAGACTCTCACTTGTTCATGAGGTAATCCTTATTGTTCAATAATTTATTATGATTGATGACTATAGCGTGGTGGTGGTGGTGGTGTGGTGGTCGGATGGTAGTAGTAGTGGTGGGATGGTGGTCGGATGGTAGTGGTGTGTGATGGTAGTAGGTTTGGGATGGTGGTGGTAGTAGAGGTAGTAAAGTAGTAGTAATAATGATAGTGATAGGTAGTAGTAGTAGTAGTGGTTGGTACTGAGTGGATTGAGTGGTGAACCATCTTCGTGTTGTACCTGTATAAACACCTGTCAGTCAATATACCAACAGGTGTATCTGGCATTAAACCTACACACTTTACAAAATTTCACTTTCAAAAACTCTCGGTCATATCTCTTAAGGGCCTACGTGAATTAAACCATTTTAAAAGTTTGGTTGGGGAAAAAAAACCCGACGAACTATTAAACAATTCGGTTAATTCCAAGCAATCTCTCGACCACACAAATTATTTCACCCCATTATTCCTTACCTTCGTCTCTGTGTAAACTTTGGGGTGGAGAGAGTTTATTTTTTTACATGATATGACTGCCAACCTCTTGATTATGGTGCCTTAACCTCTTGATTATAGTGATTTAACCCCTTAAGTATGGTACTTTAACCCTATGAGTATGGTTCATTAATCCCTTATGTACGATCAATTTAACCTCTTTGAGGATGGTGACTTAATCCCTGCGAGTGTATTGCCTTAACTGCTTGTGTATTATTATCATACTCAAGACGTTATCGTACTGAATACTGAACAAGGTAAGCTGCTGTACTCGAAGGGTTAAGTCGTCATACTCAAGGGTGGAATGACATCGCACTCAAGGGATTAAGTTACTATGCTCCAGGGGTTAACTCGTCGTATTCAAGGGGTTAAGTCCTCATGCTCAAGGGGCTAAGTCATCATACTGGAAGGATTAAATTATTGTACTCAAGGGATTAATCATCAGACTCAAGGGGTTATGAAATCTAACTCAAAGAAATAAGTTATTGTACTCACGGGGTTGTCATCGTATTCAAGGAGTTAAGTCAGCATATTCTTGGGGTTAAATCACTATACACAAAGAATTAAGTCATCATACTCAAAAGGTTAAATCGTCGTACTTAAGAGATTCAGTGAACATACTCAAGAGGATAGCAAAATATGAAATCAATTATTTACCTTTTGATATTCGGCACACACACACACACACACACATATACTACAAATGGTACACTATCTACACTACACTACACATTGTACACCATCTACACTACACTACATATGGTACACTATCTATACTATACTACAAATGGTACGCTATCTATACTATACTACACATGATACATTTATTACATTCCACATAAAACACAATCTACACTACACACAATACACTGTACACAATATACTGTACACAATATACTGTATGCACTATACACTGTCTGCGCTTCACTGTATAAAGCTTTGTGTATATGTATCCATCCTCAACTAACTTACTGACCTACGTGTTTAAACAATGTGTTGATGAGATGTTATACTGTATGAGTTCAGTGATAAAAAATAATGAATTTTATAAAACTTATTCTCGCCTCGCTTATCATATATGGCGTGTTTGTTGTGATACGTTAGGAAGAGGAGAAATTGGTCGATAATGAACTTAATGCTATAAGGTCATAAGTATAGACAAGGATTGATGAATATACTTCAGTGTATAAAATCCCTTTGGGGGTTGGCTCCTATAGCTTTTGGAACCTCTCCCAACCGTTACCTTTATGAAGGATGATCCATCAGTTTCAGAATGGTGGCCGTTCATAGGGCCAGTTGTTTCCATTAAAAATAAGAAAAAAACAAATATTAAAATATAAAAAAAATCTTGAGGAGTTGGATGCAAAGGGAGCTAGCATACGATAGGTTAAAATGATAAATATAGGAATAGTTTTGGCATTGTTCTCTGTAACTATTCTATATTGTTTGACCCCAAAACGGACAAAATCTCGGGAAGAATTAGTAGTAAGTAAAGAGAAACGTAGCGAAGGTGTGGCTGCTAATGAACCCACCACCGCTGAAGATCCCACCTCCGCTGAGGTTCCCACCCCTGCTGAAGTTCCCACCCCCGCTGAAGTTCCCACCCCCGCTGAAGTTCCCACCCCCGCTGAAGTTCCCACCCCCGCTGAAGTTCCCACCCCCGCTGAAGTTCCCACCCCCGCTGAAGTTCCCACCCCCGCTGAAGTTCCCACCCCCGCTGAAGTTCCCACCCCCGCTGAAGTTCCCACCCCCGCTGAGGTATTCACCTTCGCTGAGGTATTCACCTCCGCTGAGGTTCCCACCTCCTATGAGATCTTCTCCCCTACTATTGTCGCCAACCCTGTGTTGTCGGAAGATTTCGCGTGGAAGGAAATATTTGTCCCGGCATCTTGTCGGGATATCATGATAAACGATTACCTTGAAACCATTACCAAGATTGCCCGATAGTTCTGTGTGGATGTAGATTTTCCCTCAAAATACGTTAATCCCAGAAGAATAGTTTTCTCTGGTATTTCAAAACAAGTAACCGAAGTTTATCAAATATTTGAAAAAATGGCTGTAGAAATATAGCTAGCCGAGGCAGATAGAGAAAATAATAGAATTATTACATACAAAATGTTTGATAATCCACACAATTTAAGAAAAGTTATCCTAGGCCATATCAGGTAGCTCAAATATATGTATAACGTCGAAATCATTGTCCAGAAATAATATAATAAAACGGTTCCGGTCCTGGTGAAGGGTAAAAAATACCTACTGTAGTTCATAATGCAGTAAAACACATCAGGGCCCTGGTTCGTAGAGAAAAGCAGAACTAAAGCCGTGATTAAAAAAGATGATTCCTACCACGGAAAGGGCGAAAAACGCCGCAGTAACCCGGGTGTGGTTTTTGAGCACGTAGGAAAAGTTATTTTGTTCTTATTTGTTACATTGTATGGGCTGGATGCGGTTGTGGTGCCGCACAGCAATTCGCGGAAGAGGGATTTCGGATTGAAGTAGGAGCCGGTGTCGAGGATGGTGCAGAATCTTCTCATGAAATTTGCAGATAAAGTCGCGGTGATGATCAGAGAGAGCCGAGAGGGTCAGTGAGCTGAGCGCTTCTTGATGTGTGGAGTAGGAGGGGAGAGATGAGTGACGTTGCAGGGGAGGCATGCCCTCTTCTGCACTTTTTCAAAGTGTTTACGTTGTGTGGTATTTAGGGAGGAAGACCTGGCAGGGGAGGATTAAGTGAGCTTGGGAAGTATGAATAAAGAGTAAGCACTGAGGAGCTCGGACGCAAGAACTCCGAGGGACTTGAGTCGGCGGAGGAAGTGTAGACGGAAACTGGAGGATTTGACAGTTGTACTGATGTGTGTTTTGCAATTAAATTTTTTATCTACAGTACAGTAACGCCGAGTAGCTTAGTGGAGTCAACAACCGGGAGTGTGTTGGAGCTCAAAGTAATAGAGGGAGGTGGGACAAGGCCAGAGGAGACGTTGATGTGCATAACCATGATCTTGGTATGGTTGATGGTAACATGGTTGTTGGTGGCTCAATGTTGGAGATTGTTCAATAAGTTTTGAAGGGCAGTGCAGTTGGGAGCCGAGTTGTTGACACTGATCCCAGTGAAGTCAGCGACGTATTTCCACCTAGCAGTGGTTTCTCTTAGGGCATCATTGATAAGCATGAGGAAGTAGGAGAGCGGTCCCAATTTGGTGCCTTGGGTGACGCCACAGGTGAGTGACTGAAAAGTGAAGACAGCCGGTCGGAAGAGTACGGCTTGATATAGGACTTCTCCGAAACCCGAGGTCGATAGCTTTGTTGATGGTTAAATTGTGGTTGACTAGGTCAAATGCTTTGGTGAAGTCAATGAAGGCGACAGCCACAGGTGCCTTTCGTTTTTCTAGGGGATATATGTAGTCGAGAAAGGTGATAAGACAGTGAGTGTTGGAGGAAGTTCTGTTATTGCCAAATTGCTGAGGATCTATGTCGCCTGCTATATCAGCATAAGCCCAGTCAAAAACGAAGCTTTCGCAGATTAAAACCTATCTCGATTAAGTCGGGCATTGAGGTGATGGCAATGAGTCGTAACTCATTTAAGGATCGTGGGCTGGTTGACTTGGGCACTGGTGACACATATGAGGTCTTCCAATCAGCTGGGCATCTTGCTTAGCTGAGGGAAGCATCGACGATGGAGCAGGGGGGTTTAATTAATTCCGGGGAGAACTTCTTGTAGATTTTCATAGGTATGTCAATGGGGGTGGTGGAGCGCTTTAACTTCAGTTTGTCCAGACGTTTTGCTACTTAAAATTATTCCACTAAGTCAGTGGGAAAGGGGGCTGGTAGGTAAGCAGGGGAGACTGTTTGTGTCAAGTCGGGGGAGCGTCTGGTATATAATTGCTAAATGGTTGTTTGATTGCTCAGCTGCGTCACCATTAGTGAGGCGGCTAAGGAATGGGAGTGGGTGTGTCTTATTGTTTAGTGTTCTTTTAGCTTATCATAACAAAGGTATTCAAACCATCGAACTAGGAGCCAACTCGTAGCAATGGTTTTAAATTAGACAAAATTGGATTTAGGCGCGAGATAGGCAAACATTGGTTTGGAAATAGCGTGGTGGATGAGTGGAACAAGTTACCAAACATTATCATTGAACCGAATACACTGGATAGCCTCAAACATAGGTTGGATGGATATATAAGCGATAGGGGTTGGGTGTAAACGGGACTGCCCAATATGGACCAATAGGCCCGCTGCAGTCTCCTCCACTCTTATGTTGTTCTTATGTTATGTTGATGTTGGTCTGCTTCAGGTGTTGTAGTTTGGTTGGGTAGTGAGTCTTTTTTGTGGCGCGTATTTCACGGATGACTTGGTTTCGAAAAGACCTGTAGCGGTTGTGGCCATTGAGATAAAAGGCCCTGTCCCTCTGCTGCATAAGTCCAGGGATGGTGAACTATTCACTGTCCAAAGAGACTCACTGCGGTCAGTAATTGGCCTGTTGGTTTTGTTGTAGAGTCTCTGCACTTGGCAAATGGGTACCTAATTTTGAAGTGGTCTGAGATGGTAATGCGGTTATCGATAAGTGTGTGTGTGTGTGTGCGCCTCCTCCTCCTCCTGGGTATCGCCACTGTTAGACAATTACCTCCATAATGCAGGGCCATGGTTTGTGTACACCTGTTGGCATGGACACATATTATAGCGATATGCAACATATGATCCACATACTGGTAAGGTTGGGACACATTATTATATCAAAATACAACACTTCACACACAGTTTATTTTTTTGAAACTCCAATGCCACAACAAAACCCAATTTTTTGCCATATATACAGTACATGAAATCATTGCAATATAATTATAACCAACGACAGATTATACTACATGTACATTCGGGTTTCATTGAAGCTTAACTTGACTCAGGAACTATAATTTATGATAATTCTCTAATCCTTAATAATTATTTTTACTTGGCGGTGGTAGTGTTTCAATAACAGTTTAAGAGTTTAACAATGATGATAAATCTCTGTGTAGATTTTGTTTTAGTTTATTTAATTTTAGGTTAGGTGAGCAGCAGTGGCCAGGGTAGAGAGAAGACGTAGTTCCCGGCTCGCTATAGTACTAATTGACTCTGTCGTACTGAAGGAGATGACGCCGAGGCACATTAAGGATCAATGGTGTCTCGTCACTCAGGCACATCGGAACAACTTAAGAGCTACAACGTATACAGGGCGTCTAAAAAAAAATGTATACACACCACCTTACAGATTTTTTCGTATAATTCGCTTCAATGTTTATATCACAACACCAACATTGTCCTCACTTGTTGGTGTATGATGTTCCAAACATGTGTTGGATAATGTTGGGGACAATGTTGGTGTCGTAATCCAAACACTCACACGGTTTCCACCAAAATATATATGGTAGTGTATACATTTTTTGTGAGACACCTTGAATATTTTCACATTATTTATCGACACTCAATATGTGTTTGATGACTCTTCAAGGTGGATGTTATGTAATCTTGACTCTTGGTGACAACATTCGTCTTCTTCCCAATAGTTTAGTCGAGTTTAATGATAGAGATTTGATATAACTCTCCTATAACCATGTTTGAGGTACAGGGATGTAACGTGTGTTCGACTGTGTGTGCTTTTTTAGAGATGAATTTTGTATTGCATAAATAAATGGTTAGAATATTTATATATGTAATTAGTATAAGTGCAATTTAGTTTCATATGATTATGTTATTATAATTTTGCAATGAGAATACTCACAATGTAATTATTTTAACTGCCTGAAACTGGAGAGAGAGAGAGAGAGAGAGAGACTTCATATCAATAATTGTACACGTATATTCTCAGATGTTTACTCTTGTGTAAGCAGGTGCTCGTGACGCTGGTCGTGTTACATCATCACTGGCTACCTCTGCGTGACCATGGCCATGTGTAACCGTGTAACAACCCCCTGTGTGACGGACCCTACAGTGACGACTCACGTATAAACAACCTCTAGTACTGTACAGTATATACAGCATCATCTTAAGTGACGCTCTTTACATGAATACCCCCCTCCCTCATGTGACGGCCTCTCTGTGACGGCCTCTCTGTGACGCCCTCTCTGTGACGCCCTTTCCGTGACGACCTCTCTGTGACGGTTACTCTGTGACCTTGTTCGGTACTAACAAAGCGTCACTTAGCGAGTAGGGAACATAACTTTTGAATGTACTTCTTATAGACGCTGACCTGACTGCACTACCCTCCCATACACAAGATCAGGGTGTCTCAGAAAAAAATGTATACACACTACCTGACAGATTTGCGTGAAGATCTGCTGCTGTTGGAATTAAATCATTCACACGGGCTATGTGATACTTTGTTGGGCGATGTGTAGACATTTCTCTGAGACATGGTAGAAATCCCAAGGTGGAGGGTGGAGGATGGGGTAAGGGTGAAGTGTGGGGATTGGGTGGGGGTGAAGGGTGAGGGTGGGAGGGTAGGGATGGATGATGGGGGTGGAGGAGGTGGAAGGATTACACTGACCTAATCACACAGAGAAAGGTCAACATAACCTTTCCTAAACACCTATTTTTCTGTTCATAAAAAACTAAATATAACTTTTCTACGTGGTCCAAAATTTTTTTAAACGATGACAGAATTAATCAGGATTACTGCTGTTAAAACAATCCCATTGGCGGATTCCTGTGTCCTACCTTTTAATACAAACAAGAATCGGCTTTTGACACTGTTCCTGCGCGTGTGTGTGTGTGTGTGTGTGTGTGTGTGTGTGTGTGTGTGTGTGTGTGTGTGTGTGTGTGTGTGTGTGTGTGTGTTATCGCTCGTACACATACATATAACATTTATACTTTAATTGTTTGTAACTGAGACATAAATTTCACAAATATGTCTAATTTATTGCATGACCCTCAGTAAACTAGGCGGATATGAGGTACTTCTGACGAATATATGTCTG